CACTGTGTTCTGCTACAATGGCTCTATTGCATTTTATCATCTTTTCAGCTATTTTATATGATACAGTATTATGCTTTGGTATTTTCTGATTGTTATACAGACCATTAATATCCTGGCTTTCAGGGCTGCATAACACAAATCCCATGGAAATCAATGCAATATGTTCTCAGTATATTTATATACAAAACTTAAGAGAATTTTTAGAGATCCAAATTGTTAGAAAGAAACATGTTTAGTATCATGCCTCAGAAATGTAAATGTAATGGATGTAGACTCTGGCACATACAGACAGCAGGGTAGACTGATCTGTTTACATATGTAAGTTATTGACTTAGATGCCCATTCAGGCATTTGCACATACAAGAATGTGAATAGCATGGACAAGTGTAACAGCTGCCTGACATTTTAAATTGCGCATCCATTTGTAGGGGGGACAAGGGACAGTGGAGGAAAAATTGACCATGTTATCTGAATGTTGGTAGTATTAGATGGCCATTTAGCTTCCCCAGAACCTTTGGACAGATGCAGGCTTTCTCAGATCAGATCTCTCTCAGATGCAGTGCAAGCAGGAAGGATGCTTGCGTGCAGGAGATTAAAACCCACATAAAATCATGGCAGAGCTGCAGTCCCTGCATTTGGTCCTCCCACTTCTGTTTGTAATCCTGTGGAGCTCCATAGTATTTAAAGAGGAGGAATTACCATAACTGTAGTCACGGCCATTGGGATTGGCACACACGTAATAGCTGGTCAAATCATAATGCTATTTTTGTGAGTCCTAAAACCAAATGTCTTCTGATGCTTTCTCTTTCAAGTAAATAAACACTACGCCTCTACTCTAAGCTTTTCCTGATAATTCACCAACCTCTTTTAGAGCTGTCATTGAATAAATAATAGTTGAATATCTGGCTGCCGTCTCTTTCGTACGTGGGCAAATTCCGTATGACTCCAGTGATATGAATAAAGTGACTCATATATCACTGTTGTGTCACAAGGGAGTTAGCCTTAGAGATAGGAAAATCAGTAGGAATCCATGCCATGAGTGAACTGTAAAGATTACATCTTAGTAATGTTAGTCATCTTAAGTAAATCCCTCATTGCACACATAAAAAGTCTGCTTCATTAAGGAAAGTAGAATCTAACACTGAGTTAAAAGCCTTAGGATTTGGCCTAGTATTTTTAACTTTTAATTTGGCACCGTAATGGAACAATATGTGCTGCTCATTCTTATGCAATAAATACCAAAAATTGTTTTGTTGTATTCTTGTAGTTACCAAGCTCATATTGTGCAATAAGCTGTAACAGTATTTTTAAAACAATATGGTGTTAATAAAGGCCATATTAATTGGATTCTCTGTGAGTTTTCTGCAAAGTTCATTGTACGCCGCCTATTTATGTACTAGCAAGTAGAAAAGATTTTTAGAAGTTGGTATTTTAATAAAACTTCAGAAATGTGTTTATGGTACAATTTTACATTTCTGTTAAGTTCTAGAGAAAATAAGTGGGTTTAGTCTCATAAACTGCTCAAATGGAAATAAGGGCCGTAATGAAAACATCCAAAATAATAAGAGAAGATTAACCAGGAATTGCCAGTTACCTGTCCTCTATTCATGAACAAGAGCATATTTGGCTGTACAGAATAGTAATAAAATTTAAATACATCCCACAAAATATGTAACTTTTACTGAAGGAAGAAAGTTGAGGGGATTCAGAAAATCATAATGTATGGGCTAGGTGTATGTATGGGCATATCCACATTCAATCTTTGTACCTGCCAAAATATAGGTGTTGATAGAACATGAGGATATGTTACTGTGTTTATACGTAATTAAGTTAGGCAGATTTAACAGAGGACCTGATACTCACACTACACAGTGTTGATTAGCCAGCAGTTCATGTCACTAGGAAAAAACTTGCCTTGTTAATCAACAGTTGTTTTCCATGGAGTTTTCTTAAAACTTTCCATGAAGCCCTTCACACGATTATCACAAGCAAAGTTCGGGACTAGCCAAACTAATCTAGCATGGTAATTCCTGTGTTCCCATGAAAAATGACAACTTATATTGACAAGTCTCTGGAGTTCCCAGTTTTTGTGGTCTTCCTTAACATTCTCATTTGAAGGCACACCCTACAGGCATTTTTCATTTACTTTCTAGTCATCATCCATATTGCTTCACATGAGAAAGATTCCACTTCCAGCATGTTTTATGTTGTTTTGTCAGTTAATCGCTGAGCTTTCAAGAGTTTTTATAACTTAGAGGATATGATACCAGTTTATATCCGCTTAGGTAAAGCCCATTCTGTGCTCAAACCAACTTTCTGATCTCCAGTGGAGAGTCTAGTAGACAAGCCAATGGAGGCCAATTCCATTTACATGGAGGCCAATTCCGTTTCCTGCAGTAGGGGTGGTAGGCTGGCAGGGCACAGCTATCCGATTCCCCAGCTCCTCCGCTCATACGTGCATGTAACTATGTACCAGCTGAAAGCTGGAGCAGGGGAGCAGCGTCCCACTGCGTTCTCTCCCTCCTCCCCGTCAGTGTGACTCTCCATCTTTCCCAGTACCATGCCCGGAAGGAAACCAGGCTGAGGATGGGTGAGGAGGGTGAGGGTCTCTGGGTGAGGAGGCCATCTACGCCACATTTACTGCGGTTGAGCAGTTGAGAGTTTCATCTGGCCAGTTTGCAACTGTAGCCAAGAATGGGGCTTTGTATGTAGCACTCACACACCTCCATTTTGTAACTTCACAACGTCTGTGGAAGATACTCCAAGTATTAGCTGCAGAAATAGGAACTTCAGCACAGGAAGATTTGTCAGCAACTGCAGCTAACACCTCTGTGTTGGACTAGGACGATGAAGTAATAGAAAATCATGTTGTAATTGATCTGGTTTTGAACAAAAGACAAATTATTTATTTCTTTCTTCAAATGAAGCATAACACTAAGGTATAAAGGGAGTATAAATAACATCTGATTGTGCTCCTAAGCTCCATGCTATAACTTTCTTGCAATGACATCCTTCAACAAATTAACTACATCATTACTGTTAAGTATTAATTGCACAAAACAGATACACAAAATATATAATGAGCTAGAAAGAGGACAACATTCTTCCATTATGACAAACAACTGTAACAAGAAATGGAAAAAAACCCAATAGATCTAGGCTTACACAGATGGCAACACCGAGAGCTTTAAGTCCTCTCCTTGAACACATTACATGTGATAAATAATATGCAAAATATTTAAAGAATTTTATTGTTGCTTACAGAAGATACTTAGCAAGCAAAGAGACAGTAGCAATCACTGCCTCGTGTCTCATATCCCCATCATTCAATGCAAATTTTTACATTTCATGCAATAATCCTGAGCTTATTTTCAGTAACATTGAAATGTCATCTATATTAATTACCAAATACATACAGAGCCCAGCTATGGGGTCTATTGTATTATTAAGGCATGAAAAAAGAATAACAGTTTATTAACTCTGAATGCCACAAATACAGCACAGCAGTTAGAAGGCTCAAAAAAGCTCAGAAAGTACCAGTGATTTCTGTGCCAAGGTCCTCCCAGAACGCGACTGTGAATCATCAGCTCCCGAAAAGCCACAGAACCAAATCCTGGCCTTGCTGACATCAGGGAGGTTTGCCATTGCCTTGACTGCTGGACCAAGCTTCAGAGCTGGCAGGAGTGACTCAGACTCCTCTTCATATCCCCAAAAAATTGACAAACTTCCTCTCACTCAAGTCAAGTATGAATTTAAAAAACAATACCTACATATTGTTTCCTTAATTAGCATTTTAAGTCTATGGAAAGGTTCCATTCGTTATACAGTATGGCAATTAATAAAAAGCCTTTTCAGAAAAGCTTATTTGTTAGTCTGATTTATTAGTACATTAAAAGAAGGGGGAAGTATCATGAAAAGAACCTCTGCCAAGTGTATGCTCTATTTATAAATTATTTTTAATTTTAAAATGAAAGACTTTGGTAAGCCAAACCAAGGACATGTGATGCACTTCTAGTCTCCATGGTTCAATGGCTCTTCTCAAAGACAAAGAGTCCAGTCATCAAGTGAAGAACTTATCACCTACATAACTTGTAAGGGGCTAGTAGTATCTGGGTTGTGCAGTTCTTCACATAGTCTCTATTTTACACGTAAGAAGTTCTTGCAAAATGCCCTGTAGCGAGCCAGGGTATTCCAGTTCATTTAACTAAGCCAAGGCCAAATTGGTGGCAAGACTTACTTCATACTTACAATTGCATTATGTCCCACACTGGGAACTAAAATAGCAGATGATCTCCTCTAACTCTGCTACTAATGTAGATATTTGCCTAGTTGAGCTTAGAGTTTATAGATCCAGTAGCCTTATCCTTCATCTACAGGTGGCCCACGGTCTGCCGTGGGAAGAACGATGGTATGCAAGACGGACAGACAGACTCTTTCATGCAGCCTTTGTGCACGCTTCTTTCCATGCCTGCCCCCCTTGCACACACAAGCCACCCCTTGACAAAGATGGTGTTGTCCAATTCTGTCACTGCAAGGCTCTGAAAACTTTGCAGGTGCACAAATCCAACTTAACTAATTTAATCTAAAACACCAAGTTATAATATTGAAAAAATGGTTCGTCACAATAAACCATTCAGGAAACTCATTACTGTCTCATTTGAGATAGAAAGAGAAAAAAGGTTGTTGATATCAGTTACTGGGTCAGAATTTGCGTGGGTTTTGGTTAACTTCTACTAATAAATAAGTTAAAGAAGGCTAAGGCTATAAATTGGTACTGTTTCTTTTATAAATATTCACTTTATTTCTATTCTCTTCTAAAAAACGTGTTAAGGAAAAAGGTGGCCAGAAGGATTACACATGTTGTAAATTGTAATTTGGTTGTTAGGCTGTAAAAACCAAACACGTAAGTGAAGTTGAGCACAGTGTAAGAAAAAGCCAGTTTTTAATTAACAACTTATTTACAAGTTCATAAAATCAACTGAACTGGAGTAGATGTTCTGTGTTTGTCACCAATATTTTATTGTAACTGGTAACTTGCACGCTTTATAGTAGAAGAACAAAAAGAAAATGAAGTTCACTATATACAGCCTTTGTACAGGCTACTTGACTATACACAAGGCATAGTGATCATAACACAACCTAGTCTTCGTAATAATTTGTGCACAAAAAGACACCAATCAGACATTATGTGAACATTACAGTGAAATGACATCACAAGTCCAGTGAAAATTCAGCATAATACAAAACATATTGATCTACTGCAAATGACATCCTTTAAAACAGTAAGCCTTTATTCAGTAGTAACTTAACCAGAGTCTGATGCAGAGATTTGTTGTGTAGTTATAAGTCTTTTAAGCGAAGCAACCTCTGCAGATAAGTTTGCTATGCCCTGCTTCAAATACAGGTTCTCTGACTCAGAGACATTGTAGATATTGTCTTTTATTTCAACAACTCCAGTTTTGCAACCGCTCTGAATTTTTACATTCAGTTCCTTCTGATGCCAGAGTTCTGGTTTAAGTGACCAGTCTTGGATGTTAGTCACTTGAACCGAGAAAGGAGTGTGAGAAGAATGCACCAAGTTTTGTGCACCATGTTTTTCAAGCTCAAAATGTCTTTTTGAGGACATGTCAATGGGTGATGACAATTTCTGTGTTGCATCATAGTCATTATCCATTGCTTCCACTTTAACTTGCATGGCTTTGGCTTTAATTCGAAGCTTGTGAGGCAAAGCTGAAGAATTCACTTCTGGAACTTTAACTGTTGCATGAACATTTTTATGTTCAACTGGGGAATGGATTGGACCCTTAGGAACCTGTTGTTCATCTTCTCCATCAGATGACTTTCCAACTACACCATCATCAGTTTCTGACGTTCTGGGGGAATTACTGGAGGACCTATTAACTTGCAAGAGAGGAGGAGAATGTGAGTACACGTTAAAAGTAGCTCCCATGTAGTTTGGGTATATGGATGCTTTATATGAACCTCTGTCATCTCTTGGCTCTCTCTCTAATTCCATGGGCTCCTGTTTTATGATCTGGAACTTATTTTCGGGACTTCTGCAGTTGCTCTGTATACGACTTGGTTGAGTATGCTCTACGGATGACATTTCAGACACATCGGACATTGAGCTTTGGGGAGAATGTTTAATGACAGAAATACAACTGCTACCAACTATGGATGGTTCATGTTCATCTACAAATGAGTTAATATTTGATTTGGAACTCTGATAGTCTTGGAAATACACAGTTGTTGAGCTACTGAGTTTCTGTATCTCTTGGGCATAGGCTGCAGAACTAATTAAACCAAACTTTAGCTTCAATGAAAGCAGCTCCGCCTTCAAAGTGGCATTCTCCTCTCCCAGTGCAATTAGTTTGTTCTCTAAGACAAGGTCATTCAGTCGTCGTTTTTCACGAGATCTTTTGGCAGCTTCATTATTTTTCCGCCTTTTCTCCCAATACATAGCATCTTTTTTTTCATCTGGAATGAATTCTCGCTTTCTCCGGCAAGCTGAAGATTTGCTTTTTCCACTACTTGCTTCAGTAAGTAGTATATCTTCATTTGTAGACAATTCTTCAGACACTTCTGCTAAAGTAGACTTAAGTACCATGATTTTGTCCACATTGCTACTTGTGTCAACAGGTCCGTGTTCCTTTTTAAGGGTCTGCATTTTTCTCAGCTGCATCAGAAACAATTTGTAGTAGATCTACAATGAGCAACAGAGCAAGCTATTTCCCCAGTACTTCTCACTCCACAACTTGATAAATACAGTAATTTTAAATCCACACACATTCTTCCTTTTCTTTCATATTCTCAGACAGAAGTGTCTAGAACCAATTTTCTTGGCAGAGGCAATGGGAATCTTCTTAAAAACCTGGAATAAATAGAGAATTTGATTACTATTTAGGAACTGCTGGCTCAGGACATGCAAAAGTAGCTTTTGATAAAAAGCTTGGACTAGCATTTGGTTCATTAAACCTGCTGTAATATGAAGACAGCTCAACACTGAAACAACTGATATTCTAACCTTTATGATATCTAGGTAGCAGATTTGCTTCCAAAACAAATACAATATATGATCCAAGGAAAAATCAATAAAAAAAATATTTGAGTTTTGATCCTGCAGTAATGTTGTCACAGAACTTTCCATGATATCACTGACCAACCTAAACCTCCAACAGTTAACACTGCAGGACACCAGGCATGTTGATGAGCAGCACTGGAAAGTATCTTGTTCTTCCACATTAAAGCTTCTTTTCTGAAAACAGCTGTGGTGTGTGACTTAGAAATGCTATATATTTGGGTCCTTCATGGATTAAAAATAACATAAGCTCATTTAGAGAAGCTGAAGTGCTTTCTATTGTCTTAAAATAACACCACTACCCATTAAAGCTATTAAAGATTTAATTATTGGGTTTGCATCCTATAAAAAGTATATATACAGACATATATCGCTCTATACAAATGTTTATACACACATATACTTGGAATTTTAAAATGCCTTTTTGATCAATCATATAAATTCAAACTAGTAAATGCACACATAATTTGGGCAAATACCTAACTATTAAAAACATATTGACAAGGAAAAAGGTTGTATTACATAATTTTTTTCTTGTCTCTTATAAAGAAAACATTAAAATCAGTATTGAAAAATACATTAGAGAAATAACATTTAATTAATAATTTGCATTTGAAAAATAGTCTTATTACATCTAAGTAAAGTTTAATACCATTGAAGCATATGCACTTTAGAAAATGTGTTTGCATTAAAGTGGAAGTTTAGATCTAAAAGTCTTACCATTAACAAAGGAAAACTAGCTTAACCTTTAGCTTTAGACATTTTAATCATTAAATGTGAACTTAGCATTTAAATTGGCCTTTGTTTTATTTAGTCCCTCTTAATGCAAAAATACTTTTTGTCATAAAATCATTTGGTCTTGATCTGAGATATAGCTTCTCAATATCTCATTTACCATAGTCAGTCATGTTCCTGGTAAAATAAATGTAGTATGCCAAGTGCTTTTATAGAACTGACTATCGAGTCAGCAGTGATTCTTGCCTGTATAACAAAAAAAAAAAACATCAGCCACTTCAGATTAATGTCACTATTTATTGCAAATGTTTTTACAATGACTAATGAAACTAATTTTAACATTATCTGTTGGGAAAGTTATAAAAGAATTAATGAATTGTATTCTGCCAGTTTTCTTGTCTTTTCCAGAAGGCAAAGAGGAGTGAGTGATGTAATAACAATTAAGCAGGGTCATAAAGACTCAGGTTTCAAGCTGGGTTCTGTTCCATCAAACCATGCCAACTCTTCTGTCATGAAAAATTAACACATTTAATAGAACAGCTAAGTAGAATTTCCTAAAATCCGTGGTTAATTACTGACATGTAACTATTTGTCTTCGATAATACAGCCTTAATGGAAAATAGAGTTAGAAGCCAGCCACACCAAAGACAGCATCTAACTTTTTAGTGCAAAAGCAGCACCACAAATTGCCATGTTTGTAAATGAGAAATGTATCTCTAATATACAAGCAATTACATAGTTAGATCCTGATCCAAAATTCAAACTGGAGTCAAAGGGAGTTTTCCATCAAGTTAAATAGGAGCTGGATCAGGTTTAAAAACAAAAATAAGCCCCACAACAAAGCAACATCTGTTTGTCCAAACACTCAGTATAATTTGATTTGCTGAAGAAGCTGTATAGCCATTCTGTCCATTTCACTGCTACATGTAATCAATGGTTTAATTAATATGCATACCATTTTAAATCTAGAGAAACCTAATACTTTAAAAAAAAAATCATTGTTGAACACACAATTTAAAAATAAAAGAAGACAAGACAAAGCCACTTTAATTTTTGTGGCATTTGTAGAATATTCATTCTCTGTAACATGACTTTACATTAAAAGAAGAAAAATACTGGGATTTTATTTCATTATCCTGTAGCATTGGGAACATACAGCTATTGATCCATAATTGTCTTGATATACTACAATCACTGTATTCACTTGTATTATTAACAACTTCTGCATTTCTGAGGAAGTGCGTACACCTTCTATGGCACACAGCAGGAAGCAGTATAACATGTACTGAATACCTATGAAGTAATCACTTGTCTCTTAGTATGCATCTCAGCCAACTCTCACTGAAGTCAAAAGAGTTCAAAACAACTTTTGTGAAATTTCAGGGCCTTACCAATAGAGAGGTCTTAATGAATTTAACAGTGCTAGAGAGCTACACTGAAACCCAAATAAAAATATTTATTATCTTAGAAAAGGGATACTGATATGCATGCATCATTATTTTCTATATATTTATCTACCATTATCCCTGGAACATCTACACTTACTTGAAGCAGTAGCAACAGCAAGGAAGTACTTACAGGATTTATGCATATTTTAGAAGAATGAAACTATACCTACATAGATTTAATAAAACTTCTTTTTCCTCTTATATTCCAATCTTCCATTTCCACATGATATAGAAGCAATATGTTTAGTCTTGAGCAAGACTGTTTCAGGAAAAGACCTATGACTTTTGTGTCTATCTCTATGGTCTCCAGCTCAAAGTGATCCCACTTTGCTGTTTGTCCAACAGTGCAATCTAGGAAAAATACTAACAATGATAATAATAATAAGAAGAAAATTAGCAAAAAGTTGTTGGTTTTGGTTTTTTTCCTAAATGAATGTAGACTAATGGCATAGTTCATCAGCATGACCGTCTATGTATCAGTAGAAACTCAACTGCATGTCCAAACATACATCTCCTGACCCTAACATTGGCACTGAGCTGCACTTAACAACCCAACAAGCTGCAGAGTTCCCATCCCTTGTTCCACGGGACTTCTGCAGCTTGGGCCATTCCAGTGTACAATCTGCTCGCTGCAGCACTGATAACTCCTGTTTTGGCCAGTCTCCCTCCTGTACACATTGTTCCTGGCACAAACAGACAGAACATAAGTAGCACGCAAGTCTACAGCAAATATTGTGTATCAAAACGACCATGTTTTTGCATGCAGTATTCAACTTTGCTCTCTGCCAGAGTCCATCAGTAAAGCTGTCAAGACAGACATGTAACCCACCGACATAGTCTTACTAGTTTGCTATTAGTGTAGTTAGTTCTAATGCCATTACTTTAGTGAACTAACAAAATAACAATAAATCTTTAGCTCTTTCGACATCTTCCTTGAAGCACTTTTATCATGTAACTGGAATGGCTGCTTTAGAAACAGGAGTCAAAGCCCTTGTTTATTAATACTTCTCCATGTGGATCAGCCCAATGCTGAGTCTGTAAACAAATTAAATTCCATCTGATGATAATGGCAAAATGCCTTCAATGAAACCAGTCATTTTACTTCACTTGCATTTTATAATTCCACTGGAAAACATCAGTATTTACACATAAATTAATGAACTGTAATGATTCCTCTGACTATATTTCAAATTCCAATATTTTCCCTTATGATTAATTTTTCAATTGCTTTATCACTCCCTCATAAAGTGTTATAAAACCAACATTTAATACTGCCTTACATTAGTCACTGTTAAAGATTTTTTTTTTTGGTTGGTTGATGTTAATGGCATTGAGTGCCAATTCAACAATGTAATAACACTCGACCCTATTAACTTAATTACAGACCCAGTCTTGCTCCCACAGCAATTTTGCCATTGGCTTCAATAGAAGCAGGATACAATCCCAGATCCAAGTATTAATGAGACTGTTGTATAGAACCCATACTATTGAAGCAAGAAATTATGTATGCAAAAATCATGAAAAGTTCATCTATCCAGACTTCAAAAAACACTTAAGTGACCTGATTCTGCCAAAATAGTACGTTAAGGATCTGATCCTGGAGATTTGTGTATTCATACTGTGACAATTGAAATGTTTCAAAAGGTTGAAGGACAGGGCCACAATCTTTCCTCTCTCTCTTCTGTGTAATGTAATTACATAAGTCATTTCTACTTTAGAGAATGCATGTGGGCCTCCCCATATACGTATGTTTCCCCACAGAGTATTCTGCATATAGTTACTTGTATTTAGCAAAATAATTCATGCTGTCTCCAAGCATAATTTTTCAAACATATCCTAGAATGATACAACATCTTGTTTAATTCTATTGCTCTAACATTTTGATAGTGATTCTATGAAACTAAATGAAATCCCATTTCTAGCAGTTGGATGCACAAACACAACTGACTTCTGTATCACCATGCATCCAGAAAATCTCTCAGTCCTTCAAAAATGGAAGAAAATAACAGCTAAGTACAACTTCTTGTTTTAAAAGAGAACCATGCTTCTATCACCGTCACTGCTACACGGCAAACTGCAGAAAAACAATAAAAGCTGGTATTGATACGTGTCTGTGCATATTTTTAGTTGTTATTGTCCATGTTTTGCATTGGTATCATTAATTATATTACTGCTACCATTCTGTCACAAGTTATCTATTTTGAAAATCTGTCTACATACCAGAAGAGCTGGTGTAGAACCTACCCATAGATACCAAAATGACCAGTTTGCATTCCAAACTTTGAAAAACTGAAGAATATAGTTTGCACTTTGTCTTCAAAGTGTTTTAAAAACAGTTGCTATCTGTCTCGAGACTTTTATGAGGTACAGAAAAAATATCATCCTCATTGCACATGCAGGACAGGAGGCTGAGTTTAAGCTTAGGTGGTGAATACACAGCCTGCCCAAATAATACTGAAATATTCTGGAGCCACTCTATTTCTACTGCTTTTCACAGACAAAAATTCTGCATCTCTCAGGTCTATCATAATTCAGAAATCCTCTCCAACAGAGGATGTGGTCCCATTCCAACTTCCACTGAAATCCTTCAACATACTTTTTCTTGCC